TATTTAGATTCTTGGACCCGCTGAGTTGGCAATTAGCCGAGGTATTTATGAGGAACAACTCTGGAGGCAACTTCTTGAATCTCCCCAACACTCACCCCCCTTCAACCGTGGCTTGGCGAGGCAGCCTTTCCATTTCGGGAAATCCGACTTAACGGATCGAAGGTGCACCACGCCATGTGGGCAAATGGAGGAATGGTTCCAGAGGTTTTCCCACTGAATTGTCCTTCATAAGTCACGAATAGCCACGATCACAAATAGATGGGTTCCACTGGTTTTATTCCCGGGGCCATCCGTTCTTTCCCAACGTCACGAATGGCCACCCGGTGGAATGCCTCTTTTGCTAGTCCGAATCACTTGCTATCGTTTGAGCTGCACCGAGGTTTCTTATGCACTGACGTTTTTTTCAGCGCTGTTGGTTTGTTCCCAAACACTCCCTGTATGGCATATGTTCCAACATTTACTCTCCAAATGTAAGTCAACTGCTTCATTTTCAGTACCTACATGGAGTCAATGAGAACCTGTGAGGCAACTTCGACGGGCCTTTGGACCACGCCCTCCCGCTACCCGATCTCCAGAGCCTCACCTTCCGCAGCCGCTACAACCGGCCGCTGGACGCGGTGAAGCTGCCGAGGAGTCTGCAGAGCCTGGTCTTCGGCCACGGCTTTGACCAACCGCCGCGCGATGAAAACAGATGGCTCACCATACTCAACCGACTTAACTTAGAAACATGGTAAGGAACCGGGGTTAATTAGTCCCCCCCTTTGGCCATGGTTGTAGCCTAAGCAGCTTGAACACCCAAGTAGAGGGTGGTGTTTTGAGGGTACCTTTTGTGGGGTTGGTTGAAGAGGAAACTGAAGGCACACCATCCATTGTGGGGGTTTCCCCATTTGTGAGTACGCATTTCTCAAAATGGTGCTCGACCCCTTGTGGTTGGTAGTTCAAGCGAAACCAAGAGGAAACCAAACGCTTTATGGAGACCACAATTTTCAGGATTCTCAGAAGATGTTCACCAGGCCCTGAACAGCTCCTGTTTGTTTGTGTGTGTGTGTTGGGTGAATGTAATATGTAAATCCGACGAATTCCCCAACCCAACGGTGATACAAAGCTGTTTATATATATATATATAAGTTCCCCTGTGGTCTTCCACTACAGATTACGGATTGGGCAACTAAGTTGTTTGCTGGGTCCAGCCCAAAAGATGATCAACTCTAAACAGGTTCCGATTCTTTGAAGCCACCAGACACCGGCCACCAGGTTGGACCACGTGGACCTGCCAGCAAACCTGCTGCACTTGAGCTTTGGCGACGGCTTCAACCAGAGCCTGCAGCAGGCTTCCGTCGCAAGAGTTCGATGCCGTTCCACCGGGTCCGAGTTGAATGAACGTGGCTTCTCAAGGTTACCTGTTGGGCTTGGTTTGGAAACCGTTTCGAATGTTTGCACTATGGACCTAATGGCCATCACCCTATGCGAGCTCATGGATTTGGCGGTAAAGCGACGTCATTGCGTCGTTTTAACTGCTTTACTTGCAAATCCCTTATTTCAGGTGTTGGACATACATATATATATATATACATGTGCATATTATATATATAATGCAATTTGCAGAATCTCTTAGTTTGTCTTAAGATCCTACATATTTTTTTACGGCATCCCTATCTTATCAACTCCATGTGTTAGCCAAAGACCCAATGCTCAGTTGACGGGAATCCCTGAGGCGAGAAGCAAGGTGAAAAATGTGTTTTTTTTGAGTTGGTCGCCTTTTTGAGGGGTTGGTTTAACGGGAGAAAGGAAAAGAAAACAACGAATCGCACCACGGATTTCGGGGAAGCAATCCCTGGCTGACAAAGCAATGGCCAAAGGATGTGAGAAAGAACTGCCAACAATGTTTTTGTTTTGTTGGGAAATGGACCACTCGAGCCATCAAAACTAAATAATGCTGACACCATGTAAACTAACTGACTGGGCAAAAACATCTTTGGGGCAATACTAAGTAAAGCCAACAATCAACCAAGCTGTCAACTTCTGACTTTTGAGTTCATGCACTTTCAAGGCTTGTTTTTGCCACTCCACTCAGGAAGGGGGGGTTCCCCAAAAATGACACACGAATACCTCTTAGGAAGACGCACTGCGACGGCAGGTGAGGCTTCCGAGCTGCTTGCAGAGTCTGGCCTTCGGCAGCAACTTCAACCAGAGTCTGGTGGGCGTCAGCTTCCCCCCATCGCTGCGCCTCGGCTGCGAGACCTTTGCCGCGCCCGAGAAGTTGGAGGTCGGGGGTCTCCGCCAAGCATGGTATATATATGTATAAATAAACACAAGTATATTGTGTTTAACCAAAGAAACAGGTTGACTACACATGAAACATTATCTGAACATGGCATGTTCTGTGTATCCCAGATTTGGTGTCTGAAGTAGGGGTCTCTACCTTTTGGAGAGTGTAAAAGCACCTGACGAAGTCAGTATGTTTTTGATGTGGTCAAATAGCGCACCAGCCATGTTTAGTGAGTTTTTGACGGGTGGTGGTCCTTGATTTCCCGCACAGGCAAATTAATTACTGGACCCAAAGTGCTGAATAGCTTTGATCTGGAGACTTTACAACTTTCCCAAAAGTTGACCAAAAGGGGATGTGCATTAGTTGTTTTATTGGTCCCCCAAAGAGGGGTGTTGTTTTTTGTTCCCCTTCAACTCCAAAAAGCGTACTGAGCCCAAAAGAACACGCCATCCCTTGCATCCCTTGTGAACCACCCCTTGTAACCATCCCTATCCCGAACTCAACCATTCCTTGCTGCTGGTGGTTTCCTACAGTAGGACTTCCAGAAGCATCCCTCCACTGCACGCAAGGCAGCGCCTCACAATGGGCTGGTGCTTCAACCGCTGCTTGGATGAGGCCAGCGGGAAGCACCCGGACTACTTTCGTCACCTGAGAATGGTCCGGAGATGTGTTGACGCCAAGCAAGCTATTGCAATAGAATTGTCTTTGCAGATCAGTAGGCATTTGAGAGCTTAACAATTTTGGGATCTCTAACTTCTTTCTTATGAACTCTACTTGATATATGTATAAAGTTCCTCTTGTATAATTATAATTAAAATTATGAAGAATGTAATAAGGAACGAGTCCAACCAGGGGACCATCTCCAGCTTACTGTACTAGGGCTTGGATGTGAACTACACCAGCGCACTTGATCACAGAAGCTCTTGCAAACAGGCCGGAAAAGGTAAAGTACAAAAAGCAACCCGAGACAACCAAGCAAAAACGTATTATGTCCCCTCAAGTCAGGACAGCTGACAGAGTCTATGTTTTGTTGGTTTTCTCGTGTTTTGTTGTCCACCTTTTTTTTTTCTCTGCACTTGTCCAAAGACATGCAAAACACTTCGAGAAAACCAACAAACAAGCAAAACAACTATATATATGTTTAAAGCATCAACAACAAGATCACCCTTCCCTAAGCCAGGACATGTGCCATAGTCGTATTGTTTGATGTTATTTTGTTTGCTCGAGGTGTTTTGTGTTCTTGGGAAAAGTGTCAAACATATCGTGTTGAAAAAAAAAAAAAAACAAAAAAAAACAAAAAAAACGCGCACGATCAGGGTGTCCTGTTCTGAAAAAAGTGGAGTATTGCGTGGTTTCCTCTTGAATTTTCCTTGAACGCGGGTCCAAGTGAAAAGGAACCACCCCTCCAATCGATTGTTTTTGACCCTAAGGAGTTCTTATGCAGGTGAAAACCGCTGGAGGGTCCTTCAAGAATGTCTGCGGTCAAAAGGTACGCGCTCATGATGTGCTTAAAGTGTTTGGGCCTTTCATGGGTCGCTTTTAAAGGAAAACAGAAGGGAAAGCACTGAGGAGGGTTCCTCTTTGTAGAGACACCCACATTTTTGCGATTGTACCCTTAATTTTCTCAAGTTCAAGATCCCGAGCCTCTTGAGATGTGAGGGCCCCGCGGTATTTTTAGCGTCAGGTGTGCCTGCCATCCGGCCTCACATGCCTTCGCCTTGGCAACGACTTCAATCAGAGCCTCGAGCCTCGCAACCAAAAAGCGGTGCAACGAGATTCATCCTTTGCATCGCCAGTCGTTTTTTTTTTTTTTTGTAGGGCGGGGGGAACAAAGAACTGTCATTTGCTTTCCATTTCTTGAAGACAACGCGCCACATAGGACACCAACTACCCTCATACGGGGGACAGGAGGTGCCTTCATTTTCGCTGTTTGTCTGTAAAAAGTGGGGGACTTGCTTTGCGAGTGTAAGTTAGGGAATCAGTGACCTCAACCTCGCGCAAGTGTTAGGGGCCTCAGTTAACAGTTGCAGTGGGGGTATTGCATCCCTGAAATTTGGACGTGCAGCTTCCATTTTGCAGACCTGAGGAGCACGCCGTTTTGCCCGGCTTGCAAGAGCTGATCTTCGGCCGTGACTTTAACCAGAGGCCGGGGGCTTCAAGGAAAGGACAAAATGGGAGTGTCTTTTTGTCGAGGGTGCCCCTTGTTCGTGGGTTCCAAGGCGAAACCAGAAGAAAAACCCACTGTTCAAGGGGCGGAGCATAAAAAGAGACACCCACATCCATTTGCAAATATTGCCAAACCTCCAAATCCTGAAATCAACTGTGTTCAATCAACTGTGTTCACTCAATACGAGTTGTAGGATTCGACCCCCCCCAACTTCAGGTTTCCTGCAGATTATCCCGTATGGTGCGGTGGGGTTGAACCCTTTGAGCGAATTCGGAGTCTCAGCTTCAAACAAAACGACTACAGTTTTATTTTCCAGGTGATTGCAGCCCTAAGCCGGCAGAAGCCTTGGAGCCAAAGACGTTCCGGACTTGAGGGGCTTGGAGCTTGGTTGTTTCTGATTGGGCCCGGGAATGAATTGCGATGGGCATGAGAAGCTGGCCAGAGTAGCATCTGGGTGATGATTGAACCGGCAAAAAGGTTGGATTTCCTTTGGTGTCCCTTTCCTGTCTTCTCATATGGAGCTCCTAAAACAGACTACCCCAAACGGGATGCCCACTCGGGAGATCACAGGTTGGGCTGCCTCTTCAATCTGCAGTGCCTGGTCTTGGGTTGGCAGTTCAGCGCCTACGACCAGTTTTTGCCGGGCAGTTTGACGAGCCTCAGCGCCTCAGCGATCGACTGCGATGGATGTGTTTTGTTGGACGGTTTGAGGGTGACACAAAATCCGCCCGGGGAATTCTTATTTGGAACCTGTTGGTAGTATGTCACTCCCACGACAGCCGTTGCGGGTCAGTGCACAGACATCAAGTTGTTGAGTGGCACCCTCTATAATCCATTTTTCTTTGACGGGTGCTCACCAAAATGGTCTTAAGCCCAAACAGAACTTGATTCCTTCTTGTTGCTCTTCGGGAAAGCGGGCATGCACACAAGGGCTTTCGGTCGTCGGAGGTGTTAGTGACGCCTTCAACTCCAGCCTCAAGGAGTTGCGCCTGCCGGAGAGCTTGCAGAGCTTGACGCTGGGCCACTGCCACTGAGCTTGCCCATCCTGGGTGGCAACCATAAAAGGGGACACCGGATTCTCAGAAGGGACACACCTCTATCAGTTGCTCAAATTTTGGGTGGGCAAGTGCGACTCACGTGATATCCGGATTCCCGCTAGGCTCGGACTCGAGACCCAACATTCGGCACCCAAATGGCGCACTGGTTTCGTTGTTAGCTTTCAATGGCTTACCCCTGTGGATTGACATGAAAACCGGTGGGGGGGGGGGGTCCGCAAAGGAGCTCTTCAGTTTTGCCAGGCTGCTCTTCGGATGTTTAGCCCAGTCGAAAGCCAAACCAACCAGATCCGAGACTGGAAGGCAATCGTAGGAAAGTGCTCTTGCGTTAAGTGGCGTTAACCCCCAGTTGGTCTCTCGTAGGGAAACGCAGCATACTTTTTAAGCTTGACCTGTAGAACACGACTGTCTTCAAGCACCAGCCAAATGCACATGAGCGGAAGAGCCACCCAACTTAGCTTTCCTGGTGAAACATAGAAGATCTGAATCAGACGACCTTCTTGTGTTACCCCAAGAGGTTTACCTCCCACCAAACATAGAAGTGCATACAGTTCGCCTTTCAAACTTTCTAGGGAGTACCTCTTTATTTCCAGGTGCTTTATCCATGTCAGATGCCGAGGCTACGATGAGCCGCTGGGACAGTTGCCGGCAAGTCTGCGGAGCTTGTCCTTCAGAGGTGAGCAAGTCACGCTTTCCGATTCCATTTCACCAGAAGGGTAACCAAGGGAACCAGCCTGAAACAAACAGAAACATGGTGAAGGGTTAGCTACTACCACTACCGTTATATATCCCCAAGAGAAATGCGGGGCTATGAAACCTTTACATGTGACCATATTTCAACATGTCACCTAAGCACAACCTCCCCCAGGTAAACCCATTCTCATCTTGTTGTGTTCTTAAAGGGTTCAACCGTGGTTACCTACGATATATGTAAATGAAATCACTCAGACACGTAGAATTGCGGTTATAATTGCGGTTACTCCTCCATAGGGAGGGAGTTGCGTGCTTTCTTGAGACTCTGTGCCCTTTTTCACTTGGTTTAATTCGAAACCGAAAAAAAGAACCGAAGTCCTTCATTCCAAATCCCTAGAGCAACCTGCCTTTTGGACCTTGGGTTCCATGTTAATTTGCAGAGTGATTGCGAAGTTAACAAAGAGTTCAACCACTAAACAGGCAAAACAACCCCAGCGAGCGGAGGTGACTTCAATCAGTCCTTGGAGCACGCGGACTTGGGCTGCCTCGTCTCCTTGAGCTTCGGCACCTCCTTCAACCAGAGCCTCGCGGGGGTAAAGCTGCCGAAGACCTTGAGGCATCTTAGCTTCGGGCGCCTCGAGCCACACATGGCACTGTTTTTTCCTTCCTTTAAGTATAATATATATATATATATGTGTATATTTGTTTTTCATGTGTTTCTCGGATCGAAGTGGACATTTGGGGGCGTTTCAAGTCTTCCAAGAATATTTTGTCAGCGAGGGTTCAGACAAGTGCTGCACTGTGCATTTCATCCCTTTGTCCTTGTCCCTCCAGTGGAATTCCTTCCTTGGCATCCAGCTCTTGGAGTGGTTCCCTTCAACCCCAATCGGATGCGTTTCCAGCAGGTCCTACCGAAGAAATGTCGGACCCAAGGCTTCAGCCTTTAGGTTCAGACAGGGATGGGTGCATTTTGGCCTTTGCCTGGTGCCTGTTTGACTGGAGATGAAGGGCGCAAGGGCCGAAACAAGTAGATTGGGGATGTAGGGACTTCAAGGTTTGGGGTTTGGAGATTGGGGGTTCGGGGAAATGAACACTTTGGGGGCCTTGTAATGGCCGACGAGTTCTGGTTGCCTGTTGACAGTGTCACCTTGTAGGGTGATTGGTGTCATTCTTAGGTTACAGCCCACAAGTTTGACGTAAAACTTCAACATGTTATTGTTTCCACAGCCAGATCATACAGGTGAGAACAATGGCCTGAATGGTCTACATTGGATGGCGATCAACAGTTTTGGTGCTGGTCTGTGCATGATTTTCCAGCGCAGTGTAAAAGTCAGATTGTTCGGAGAATACGCCAAACACATTGGACCCGAGTTTCTTTGATTGGCAAAGGCCGACAAGAGCAGGATGCCCCCATGCTGTTTCAATTTCACGACACTTTGTCTTCTTGCAAGCCATTCTGTGTTAACGCGATTGTGGAGGGTTTGTAAATAATGGTCAATAGGGGTGAATGGAAATAATGTGTTTGCTCCTTTTGCCCCGCCCCCAATCAAAGGCCCACCCCCCAAACCCCAGGCCAAATGGTCTTAGGACTAACTCGGGGAAGATGAACGATTGCATTTCGATCAGGATTTCAGGGGTCGATATTCTATATTCTAAGGTTGACTAATGAAATAGAATCTGAACATACCATTTTTGGTGTACATTCCAGTGCTTCCATATGTTCCAGAAACCCGCGTAATAGGAAACTAAGGAAGGATTTTATTTCTGGACGCGGTTGAGCCCTTAACTCACTCTCTGATGTTCGCTTCAATTTTCAGAAAGTTTGGGGTCATTCCACTGCAGAAGTGAGTTGAAGGCTTCTGAGGGGGATTTTTTAGGGCCTGAGAAGTGAGGACCTCCTTCAACCAGACACTGGAGCACACTGCACCCCGGCGATGTGGATTTTTTGGGATGGCTTCCGTTTAGGCGCACTTTTGGCTGCCGGGTTGCTCCGAACCTGAAACCTAAGGGCCAAACCCGTGCTTTCTGCCAAAACTATGTTTTTTTTTATTTAGGGGCAGACTACATATGAGAGAGTCTGAACATATGTTGCGTCTTTGTGTGTACCCCAGATGTGGGGCAACACAAGGCACATGGTAATGGGCACTGGTCCCTGTGATGACCTTTTCCAGGCACCAAATTTCCAAATGTGGGAGGCTCCTTTGTTCATGTTTTGGGCCCTTGCAGCTCCAACACCATTTAGGGAAGCTTCTTAAAATTGTCCACAGATTTGGAGGCTGTCCCTTCGTAAGGATCCAACCCCTGCCCTAACCCCCTATCCCCCCAGTTGTTCCCCAAGACAAGTTGCCGGATTCCAGGCCCTTCCTCGGTCTCAGGAACGGGTTCCAGTCCGATTTGAGACTGGTTGAACAAAATCCTGTTGGATGATTTGAAGCCAAAGCGGCACGATTGGCGCCGTGACCTCTTTCAAGGCGATGCCTTTTTCGTCCTTACAGCGCTGAGCAAGGGGAATCAAACAAGCAAACCGTGCCTTGCGGCGAGGTTTGTTGTCTTCCTTTTAAGCATGTATCGAGACATTAATGATACTAACATATGATTTTCTGGAAGCTTTTGCTATCAAAAAGACCAGCCTGGAGGTCCCATGCAAATACAATGAATGTGGGTCTTTGTTTCCACATCTCAAGGTGCCATTTTGGGGTTTTCATGTTTTGAGCCATAGCCAGATGGGGCCGGGTTCGAACCGGTCACTCAGGTGCTGCCGGATCTTCAGACGCTGATCCTTGGCACACTTCACTGGTTCCTTTGTGGCGAACAAGCATGGCCCTTTTTGGGTGGCTTGTCTTTTAGAGTTGGTACCCCTTCGCGGTTTTAACGGGGCCCCATTCCTGAAAAACTACACACGCACAGAAGCATAGAAACCTTTCTAATTTGGAACCATCGTAGAATCACATATCAATGGGTGGGCGCTGCTCAAACCTATGTGTGTGTGAGTTTCCTGGTGAGGGTAGCCTTTTTCAGCTTGTTTATCGACCCCCAAGCATACGCTGGATCTTCAAACGGCTCAATCCCCGTGTATCTGCCTGGGTTTTGAGCTCTCACCAATTCGGGGGAACGAGCTGTCCACTGCTTGGGGATCCGATCCTCTGATCCTGAGAGTAAGGATATAGGTTGATATAAGCCCTTCCTTTCCGGACGACGGGATTTATGTGGGTGTCTTGTTCGTTGCGTTGAACGTGAAACCAAAAAGCCAACCATTTGGGGGTCCCTTAATTTTAAGACGCTATTGACTTATCCGGTGGGTTTTTTTCTCGACGTGATCACGTAGTCATAGGGCTGCAACTACAGCTTGCGCACTTATGCAGGGATATTTCTTGAGAAGCTTGATGCTACTTGTTTTTTCGGATGGCCCACTTTTTGGTATCCAAAGGGGTTAGTTGTCCACAAAGAGTGTGTGTGTGTGCTTGCAAACACAAGCACGAGCAAGGCAAGATCTCGACGTGCTTGCGTTTCGTGACGAAAAGCGAGGAACGAGCTACACGGTGATTTGTGCACCAAGTTTCAAGGGCGCTTCAACTTGCTCCTCCGCAGATTAACATGGGACCCCCCAACTTGCATCATTTTTCAGGCATGGCATCTGAGAATCTCCTTGAGTAGTCGCACTTGTCCTACAGTATCGCTCAGGACATTCGGCGAGTGCTTCAACCGCAGCCTGAAGCGAACGAGTCTGCCAATGAGCCTCGAGACGTTGACCTTGGGATGGAAGCTGAGCCGCACTTGTGCGGAATTCACATCGCCAGACTTAACTAATGTCGACCCCGGATCTAAGTACGACTAGGGCATGTTGTTTGTGGGAGTGTTCCTTCAAAAAGTCAAGCCTTTCCCTCTCAGATTTGACACCCCCCCGGTGGTGTACTAATCTTGGGCTCCCCACAACCTTTAAGCACCAGAGGTGTGCCCCGGGGCTCTGCTGAGGGCTCCAGAGTACGGGTTGAAAACTCAAAGGTCACACTTCTGAACATCTGGGATTTTGCAATCTTGGACCCCAACATGTTTTAAAGCAATGCATAGAATGAAACATGTTGAATTTTGAGGGTTTGGGCACAAGGTGAACATGATGCAAAAGTACCACAAATACCGGCAAATGCATTCGGAGGGGGTAGCATCCCCACATATAATTGTATATATATGCACATGTGTGTGTGTGGGGTATGTAAAGGCAAACAGTTTGGGCACGTTCTGAAGGCGGAGGCGCGTTGTGCTACGCCTGATTTTTTTCTTACAGACATGATTGCAGAGAACTTGGTTTTGGTTTAGCTCTGTATACCCTGTGAATGTAAAATGTTGCGTCTTTTGCAGTGACGGTGCAGAAAGATCCCAGACCTCCAGCGGCGTTTGTCACTTGTTTTACTTCGTTTTTGAAGCAAGGGCGTCCCTTTCAAGACCAAAGAACGGGTACCCTGGTTTTCCATGAAATTCCACTGAAGGTCTGGGAAAAGGTTCATTTGAGCCACAATCAAACCCCGGGTTAGTGAGAGTTAGAAGGGACGGTCCCAACCAAGGTGCGGATATCCACCCTTTTTGATTATTTACCCTGTTTTTGCTAGACCGACCTCTGTAGTGCTAGGCCTTTCACTCATGTTCCACACAGGAAGTACAACCAGTCCGTCTCGCTGGTCTGCCTCCCGGAGAACTTGCGACACCTCTCGTTTGGCGCCTCCTTCAACCAATCCCTAGACAACGTTCATCTGCCCCGTGGCTCGTCGCAAGATCTACGAGATCGCAAGTGCGGTCCAGCCTAAGAGTGCTTGGATGTTTTGGGTACTCCTTGTACGTGTGTGTTTTGTTCTTATGTGTGTGTGTGTGCATGTAAGTGTTTGCATGTGTGTGTGTGTTGTATGTGTTTGTGTGTGTGTGGTTTTGCTGTGTTGTGGTGGTGTGCTCGTGTGTGTGTGTGTATGTTTTATTTTTTTTTATTTTTTTCCTTCCCCTGTCAGTTTGTGTTTGTGCATGTCTGTTTGTGTGTTTGTGTCTTTGTGTGTTTGTGTGTTTGCGTGTTTGTGTTTGTGTGAGTGTGTGTTTGCGTGTGGTTGTGTGTGAGTGTGTGTTTGTGCATTTGTGTGTTTGTGTGTTTGCGTGTTTGTGTCTGTTTGTGCATGGTTGGTTGGTTGGTTGGTTGGTCGGTCGGTCGGTTGGTCGGTCGGTTGGTTGGTTGGTTGGTTGGTTGGTTGGTTGGTTCGTTGTTGATTGGCTTGGTTGCTTGCTTGATTGTTTGTTTGATTGTTTGTGTGTGTGTGGTTTGTGTGTTTTCTGTGCTTGTGTGTGTTATGTGCTTGTCAGTTTGTGTGCTTCTGTGTTTGTGTCTTTGTGTGCGTGTGTGTGTGTGTGGTTTGTGTGTGTTTTATGTGCATGTCAGTTTGTGTGCTTCTGTGTTTGTGTCTTTGTGTGCGTGTGTGTGTGTGTGTGGTTTGTGTGTGTGTGTTTTATGTGCTTGTGTGTGTGTTGTGTGCTTGTCTGTTTGTGTGTGTGTGTTGGTTTGTGTATTTGTGTGTTTGTGTGTTTGTGTGTTTGCGTGTTCGTTTGTTTGTTTGTTTGTTTGTTTGTTTGTTTGTTTGTTTGTTTGTGTGCTTGTTTGTTTGTGTGTTTCTTTGTTTGTTTGTTTCTTTGGTTGTTTGTTTGCTTTTTTTTTGTTTGGTTGTGTGTTGGATTATGTGTTTGTGTAAGTGTGTTTGTGTGTATGTTTGTTTGTTTGATTGATTGTGCGTTTGATTGCTGGTTTGTTTGTTTCTGTTTTTTGTTTGTTGGTTTGTTTGTTTGTTTGTTTCTTTGGTATTTTTGTCATTGTGTCTTTGTGGCATTGTGTCATTGTGTCATTGTGTCTGTGTTTGTTTGTTTGTTGTTTGTGTTTGTTTGTTGTTTGTGTTTGTTTGTTTGTTTGTTTGTTTGTTTGGAATTGTTTGTCATTGTGTCTTTGTGTCATTGTGTCTTTTGTTTGCGTGCTTGTTTGTTGTTTGTTGTTTAATGTGATGTTATTGTGTTCTTGTGTCCTTGTGTCTTTTTGTGATTGGTTGTTTGGTTGTGTGTTTGTTGTTTGTTTGCTTGTTCGTTTGGTCTTTGTGACAATGTGTCGTTGTGTCGTTGTGTCCTTGTGTCTTTGTTTGTTTGTTTGTTTGTTTTTGTTTGTTTGTTTGTTTGGTCTTTGTGTCATTATGTGTTTGTGTCCTTGTGTCTTTTGTTTTGTTTGTTTGTTTGTTTGTTGCGGTTCACACTTGTGTGAAAAGTAACAACCGCAAGCGAAAGGGTGCATGCCCGCACTTGAATTGGAATGTAAAGTGCTGTGCACTGCATGTGATGAGTGCCTGTGCACCGATCGCCATTTTGGCGAGTAGAAACTTTTTCAAACTGTCCTTAACCTGACCGCCCTGCACACTTCACCGCCATGGCCGCGCCCACGTGCTTTGCCGACATTGTGGAGCGTTACCAGCTCATGGCCATGGCCGAGGTTGCGCCCGACTATGAGCGCCTTTACCACGCACCCCAAGAGCCCTGGCTGGCACTTTTGCCCGAAGCCGTGAGCTCGGGCCACCGTTTGCAGGGCAACCAGGTCTGCACTTACTTCGTGCAACGCTCCAGTCGTAGGGGCCGCACACCAAGTCCGAACACCTGCGCGGTTACCTCCATCCGGAGTTTGTCTCGGGGAGATGGTCTCCCCAGGACAACATATGTTGCCGACACCTTCGGCAACAAGGAAGTCACCCCGATGCATTCTGCAATGTACACATAACATTCCAACCCTCGGCCGTGACGCACCGAAGAGGTCAATACCTTCGGTCCGCGCAAGATGATGCGCCGAGCCTGCTTTACAGGCACACCAGTTTGGTGGCACGGGGCATGCTATGGTTGCGCCGCCTGCGACACCAACACCGTACCCTGACTCAACTTCGGGGAGCTCCTGGCAGGACCGGAGTTCATCACCTTCAAGCATCCGCCACACACCACCATCGCGGAGCACCCGGACCTTGTCAAGATGATCCACGACCAGGACATCGCACTCCAGATGGCCGTCCCAGAATTGGACGACGCCTACGACAACTTCATCACCATCCACCACTGCGACACCGACCAGGACCGATGGATCCGACCCCAGCCACCCGAGCCATCCTCTTTTGGCGCCCTCTGGTTGTTCGGGTTTGGATCCCTTGCTACAAACCTTCCAACGAATTGGGGGGGGACGCAAGGCACTGTCCTCAAGTACACATATCGATGACATCTGCGCCGGTGTTGCGTGACATCTGACACGACGTTTGTGTCGGTGTGGTGTGGACGAGAGGTCTGCCGGCAGCTCCTGGAAACAGTCATGGAGACCGAGCAAGTGGACAACCAGACCCGCATCAAGTACCTGCTGATGGACTACCGCAACATCAACCCCCCTCGACCCCTCGAGCCCAACCAGCGGAAGGAACTCTTCAAGATTTTCCAGCGTTGGGCACTGGCTTCATTTGGATATGGTTCAAAATTTACGGACCCTTGGGGCCATTGCCAGGTTTTAGTGAACGTCTCCCTGTATACCAGTGATACCAGGGCAAGCCATTGTGGGCAAACATGGGCAGACTCATTTGTGTTTGCCATGCCCATGTGATCCGCTTTTTATTGAACAGAGCCGCTGGCAACTAACTGTTCCTTTGAAAGGGGTCTACAAAAGGGACCACCATTGTATCAACTCTTCATTTGGATATGGTTCAAAATTGACGGACCTTGGACCCATTACCAGGTTTTAGTGAACGTCTCCCTGTACACCAGTGATACCAGGCGCAAACGGGGTATCTGAAGGAACACCGAGAAAGCGAGAAATATCAGTAAAAGTCTGGTACCTTCACCCCATGGATCACCTTCCTTTGCGCGTCCTGCGTCGTTACACACCCTCCCAAACACGAACATGAGTCTCCCCAAAAGTCAAAAGAGGACACTAGAGTCAGGGAGTTTCCTCTACACGTGATTTTCAGGTTCCATGTTCCTTGGACAAGTCACGTTGGCCAGGGCCCGCAACGCGTTTGCATGATCAAACAAGAGCTTTGTGTGCAGGCATGTCCAGGAAAAAGGGGAAGAGGAATGCCGTGTGCAACAGTTTTGGCCAACGCGGAGCGTCCGCACATGCACAGGATTGGGGACAACCGCGGGGAGATACGACTGGTGTGATGCCACTGGTTCGGAAGAGAGCCCATGACGAGCAGGCTCTGTTGGTTTTGCAAGCCAGTTGGGGCAGGTTTGTGGTATCAGATCCAATTGCTCATGAGACACAGACACAAGTCAATAGCATGTACTGGCAGCGGAAGCGCAAGAGATAAAGGCGATGCAGGCGAGGGGGCTGTGGGGCAGGGATGGTCATAAAGCAACAGCGTGGATAGCATGTGATGTGGACCTTAGTACACCGCCCAAAAGAACTGATAGCTCTTTCCTTGACCCTGCAATTTGGAGTTCGGGAGCAGGTGAAACGCACGCTATTACAGCCCCGAACTTCCCCCCAAAGCCCATGGAGATGTGTTTCGTGTCGCGGGTCCCAACCAACACGATACCTTCTAGGAGTGTGACGAACATATTTCAATCAGAACTTGCTGATCCAGGAGAGTTCTGCAGGAACCAGAGCACTCAAACCAGTCGTGTTCTGCGGCCCCAAAAGGGGTAATTTCGAGACACTGAAAGCCCCGAGCTAAAAGAGCACCTTGCCAATCCCTGAGTTGCCGCCATGGGAGGTTGGTGGCAGGCTACGCTGGATGCCGCCGTTTGCGGGGGGGGGTTGCTCAGACATATACATACATAGACACAGACAGACAGACAGACAGACGGACGGACGGACAGACAGACAGACAGACAGACAGACAGACAGACAGACAGACACACATACATACATACATACATACATACACACACATACATGCATACATACATACATACACACATACAAACACACACACAGACATACCTACATATACACACACCTACACCTACACATACAAATGCACATAAGCATACACATACACATACACATGCACAGATACATACAAACACACACAGACATGTATACATGCATGCAGACATGCACATACACATACACATACATATACATATACATATACATAAACTTACATTCATACATACATTCATACACACATACAATACATCACACTACATCACATCACATTACATATACATATACATAAACTTACATTCATACATACATTCATACATACATACATTACATCACACTACATCACATCACATTACATATACATATACATAAACTTACATTCATACATACATACATACATACATACATACATACATTACATCACTACATCACATCACATTACATTACAGTACGTTACATTACACAACTACATTACATTACGTACATACATACATACATACATACACACATACATACACACATACACATATACATATACATACGCATACACATACACGCACACGTTCACATACACATACACATACACATACACTCATACACACGTACATAACTACATACATTTATGTCTGTTGTCATCAACCCCTTCAATTTTTCCCCCGCCCCCTTCCCCCCGTGATGGCAGCAGCCGCCGAGGGGGTGGGTGGGAAGATGGCCGTTCACCTTCATCAACGCAATGCTTTCGGGAAAAACATTTGTGTAGAAGGTGAACAGGCCACGGCAGCGCTGTGAGCAGTGCGTGTTTTGGGTTTTTGGGCCAGCCCCCCAACATGCCCCTTCAGATTCTGGATTGGGCAAGAAGGGCGGCCAGGAGGCTCAGATGTCGTGGTCAGCAGGCCCTAGTTCAACCACTAGCCAGTCTGCAAAATGACGGTTACTTCGATCAGCTAACAGCTTGAGTCTCTCAGGCTTCCTTTCTATGGTTTACACCTTTTATTAACTTAAAGCAAGTACTCATAGTAGCAGTGATTGAACCACGCGTGCATTGAAACACCGAAGCTGGCTTCCTTGCGCCAAGGTTGCCTTACGGGGCTGGAGGAGTTCCTGCGCCTTGCCAGCACCAATGCAAGACTTTAGTGCCAGTTGTCTTACTACGGACTTGGCTTGAAAGATAAGTCGAAGTTATAGCTGACGCGAAATGCAAGCGCCTTATTGCTTTAGGTGCTACACCGAAGCTTGCCCCACATGAAAAGGACAGCCCTGATTGATTGTGATTGTGATTGTGATTGTTGGTGTTGCTGTTGTTGTTGTTGTTGTTGTTGTTGTTGTTGTTGTTGTTGTTGTTGTTGTTGTTGTTGCTGTTGCTGTTGCTGTTGCTGTTGCTGTTGCTGTTGCTGTTGCTGCTGCTGCTGCTGCTGTGGTGGTGGTGGTGCTCAGGCCGAGCAACTGATATTTAGGGTTCAGAACCCCGAAGCCCGGTTCCCAAGTCAGTGTGCCCAACGAGTTTCAGGGATTGAGAACAGCAACTCCAAATTTGCAGTGCCCAGCCCGAGCACTCGATCTTTCTGGCACACTTTTCTGCACGTTGTATTTAACATCATGGGCTCCTCCTACCCTAAATGTGTTTCTGGCCTGAGCAAGCAATACGCTCAGAAGAGCAGCAGGTCTGTCAGTAACAACATGAAGGCGTTACGGACAGGCCCGTCAATGGGCTTGAACGTCAGGCATATCGCAGAATTTCCCAAGAACATCCTTGAAAACGAGGGGGTCCCGCGTATCGAAGAGCTACCCAAGAATATTTTTGAGGAAACAGTGTTTTTCAAAGGTCAGGCATATCGAGGAGTTACCCCAGAACATCCTTGGGAACCAGTGCTTTGCAAAGGTCAGACATATGGAAGAGCTACCCAAGAACATCTTCGGAACCAGCTTTTTCAAAGGCCGGGAAAAATCGAAGAGCTACCCAAGAACATTCTTGGGAACCAGGTATTTTCAAATGTCAGGCATATCGAAGAGCTACCCAAGAACATCCTTGCGAACCAGTGCTTTTCAAAGGTCAGACATATGGAAGAGCTACCCAAGAACATCTTCGGGAACCAGCTTTTTGAAAGGCCGGGACAAATCGAAGAGCAACCCAAGAACATCCTTAAAAACCAGGTATTTTCAAAGGTCAGGCATATCGAACAGCTACCAAGAACATCCTTGGGCACCAGTGCTTTTCAAGAGTCAGGCATGTCGAAGGGCTACCTCACCTTTATTTTGTTGTACTTTACTTTCAAGTCAGTGGTGTCTGAGAGACACCGACACCGACTCCAGAGAAAATGCTGACCGACCAGCAGGTACGATCCCCCCCACTTGAGGCAGAGTCTGACCGACGCTGGTTGCTGTCGAGATCTCTG